GAGAAAGAAAGAGAGAGAGAGGGGGGGGCTTTGTTGGGAGGGGAGCGAAACTTCAGAAACAACCACAGCTGAACGACAAGAAAAACATTCCACATGTATTTGTACTGTGCCAAATAAATACTGCATTAGCATGACGCAGGAATTATTTACAATAAAGTTGCGCTTGGCTGGCTGCTTCTAGTGAAGTCTTCCTGCTTTGTTGCTGTGCTACCAGCAGTATTTTTAGCGCCCACTTTATCCGCTTCAGCGCGCCATTACGCATATTACACTCAGGATGAGGCAACGACGCTGCAAATTCTCAGAGCGGGTCTCTGCTGCCCGGAGGTTGTGCAACATTACATCACATCACGTCCAAAGTTGTAGAGTAGAACAGCCGGTTTCTAAGGAAATGGCCAACTTAAAGTATTACCATCGTGTATTTCCTTCAGCCAGTAACTTACAGTAGCCTGTGCGTACAAAATACAAAGCCACTTCTTATTAATGTCTGAATGACATGGTGTGCGTTAATTAGGAGCTTGAACTTGAATCACATGACCCCAAACCCTCAGTTCAAAAGGCCTCATGTCCATTCTTTCCCTTGTTTGCAGGAGGTGGAGTCATCCTGTATGCAGGCTCCTCCGGCAGTTCCAGTCCCAGCCCTGGCAGCCCCTCCAGTGGGTACCAGACACAGTCACCCTCTTCACACTCCCAGCCCTCCTCTCCAGAGGAGGTTACCTTCACAGAGATTGGGGCGTTGAAACAGCGGACAGGCGGGTGCACCACGCCATCCTCCAAACTGGTGTTCCAGTTCCCAGATGTCTACTCTGGCCCCTCAGCAGCGGCCACTCCGCAGCATACCTATTCACACCCCATCGCAGGAAAGAGGCCGTGTGGGTTCTCAGGAACATTCACAAGTAAGTTTGTCCTCACTGTCGATTCACTTAAAGATATATACCTTTATCTAAGTTTTTGCAGCTGATCTAACTGTCTGTTTATCCTTCCTCAGAGACAGGTGGAATGGTCCTGCTTTGCAAAGTCTGTGGGGACATCGCATCTGGTTTCCACTACGGAGTGCATGCATGTGAGGGTTGCAAGGTGAGCCCCTGATCAGAAAATCCAGGTCAATGATCATGAATGTGGAATGAATCAACAATGGGTTGCTTTTGGTGCACCAGTTTCATGCAATTTTTTTGTTTCAGGGTTTTTTCCGCCGCAGCATCCAGCAGAACATCAACTACAAGATGTGTGTAAAGAACGAGAACTGTCTGATTATGCGCATGAACCGCAACCGGTGCCAGCACTGCCGCTTCAAGAAATGCCTCTCCGTTGGCATGTCAAGAGATGGTGAGACATCCTGACACATTTTTATTTTATTGAGAGAGACCTTCGTGCAGTTCTGCCAGAATGCCACAGTGCTCTGATTAGCCAAAGCAGCAGGGAAATGGGCAACCCGAATGAGGCACAGCTCTGATATGTAGGTCTGTGTGAAAAATGTAATGCGGAAAGTCTTTTGAGGTCATCGTGCCAGTAGCTCAGTCACTCACTTTATCAGCGCACCTGCACCTGCCCTGCCCTTCTACTGTCACTGCACTGCCAAAGATTACCATCTGGCCTTGCATCACTCTCTTAAGTTTCTAAGTGTCTTTCTCCTGCCCTTTGCAGCATCCTCCCACAACACCGTTACCTCTATGCTCTTGTTCAGAACAGCCCCTCCTCCTCCATGTACCCACCATGTTCCCTCAGCTCTCTTACATCTCCCCCTCAGACAATGATTTATGAGAAGAGGAGCCTTGAAGTCCCCGAAGCTATCTATCATCTAGAAAACTGCAGCAAACACAGGAATTATTTTAGGAAATTGGAACAGGGTCAACTTGATTACCTTGTGTATGCCCATAGAACATCTTAGTGCAATTAATGAGGGATAGGGCAACAATTAAGCAAGGGATGCAGAAAACAGCCAGTCCTTGTGACAGATTTTATCAGGCGTGACGCTCACATCACCTAGTTTCAGCTTTGATAGCTGAACATTGATTGATCACCTATCACCACAGATTAAGAAAACAGCTGGGCTGACCTAGAAAAACAATACAGAATTGGGCCTATAGTGTACTCACACACCATGACCTACTTGGTGTAGTTTGCCTGCCTTCTTCCTCTCAGTATGGTTTCTGCTTATCTCCACCCTCTAGTACCCCGCATTGCTTAATCTAGTAAAGAGGTTAGTGTTATTTCTGCATGTGCTTGACACTTCTGGTGCAAAGAGAAAATAAGGTGGCAAAATACGACTCAGTAAGAGAACAAAAGAGTCAGGTCGACCCTCTTAGAGGAAATTTTCAAAAGCGTTAAGGACCACAACCTAGAAACCCCTTTTTGCTCTGTTTCAACCATTACGAAAACAGGAAACCGCATGCAACTGCCTGCAGCCCACAATAAATAGTACACCCTGATTTCACACCAGGCAGCTGTGTAACTTTGGCTCTGCAATATAGACAAATATTTAAGTCCGTTGGCATGATGGCACACTTTTCTCCCTCTAACCAGAGCATCATTTTTAGAGCAACAGCTCACTAGTCCGCATTTGCTTCTTTTTAACCATGATAAAAGGGATTAATCTCATGCCACATTATTGGCCCCATCCTCATTAAGGCATACTGCAGGCAATGAACGGATTACTGTATATTTGGTAAACAGCAATATCTACTGTGCATATTAATGGCGCAAGTGAATCACCTCAGTTGACACAACAAAGTGTCATTATGTTTTTACGTAAATTGTTATGTTTAACTGAATAATGCTTTCAAAATATTATTACTGCTATACGAATTTCCTGCTGCACTTTAAACAAAAAAATCTCGTAACCTATACTTGCAAAAGTCCTTGAATCTGTACCACCTCAACTTATCTGCCTTATCTAACTCCACCTTGCACACACACATACACACACACACACCCACACACCTACCTCCCACGCACACAAACACAGACTCTCACTTTTCATGTATCAGTCTCTCACGTCAGTCCCCTTAATGTTCTCACTACTGTCTTCTCAACTCATTTCTGCGCTTCAAGCACCTCTCTCATATCCTTCTCCCTCTCACCATCTCAGTGCCACTGACATCACGCTCACATTGCCCCACTGCCCTACTTACAAATAGAGGGAGGGAGCGGGAGAGGAAGGAGACAGGGGTGGATAGAGGAGAGGATGAGGCAGATGGTAGCAGGGGGTCTATAAATAGCCTCTCCAGCTGATGGTTACTGTGGGAAGGGGGATGGGGATATGGGTGAGGAGAGGGAAGTTTTCATCTCAGAAGTTACATGATTCTCCTTGAAATCATTCAATGCATTAGGTTTTTTTTTGTGCTTTCTATGCGTGTATATAAGGAGGTGCAATGGGTAGCTGTTTCACCATGCTTAGCTTTAATGTATAATCAGCATAAGTCACTATAGCAGTCATGTATTTCCTGCATAGCACCACTGTATAGGTGTATAAGACATTCATTTGTCTTGGCTGTCATTGCAGTGCTTGTATCTTTCAGACAGTCTTCTATCCAAGCAATAAAATAAAACAAAATGGGGAATAACATTTTATGCGTCACAATGACTGGAAGCTCATCTGTTCTCATTGCTTGTGTCTTCCCTAGCTGTGCGTTTTGGCCGCATTCCTAAGAGAGAGAAGCAGCGACTTCTGGATGAGATGCAGAGCTACATGAACAGCCTAAATGAGTCAGCTGCCATGGAAATGGACTCATCTTCAGTGAGGGACACTCCCTCCACCCCCGAAGAAGGCAGCTCAAAAGAGGCCATTGGGGCCATCTCCAGAGCCTACCGCGATATCTTCACCAGCAGCAGCAGCAACCGCAGCAGCAGCCAGGAGAGAGCAGCCAAGAGGGTTAACATGACCTCCACCACCAACAACAACACATCTCCCTTTTCTCAGGATGCCAATTTCCACCAAGTCTCCTCTCACCCCACATCTGCCCAGAGTTATCAGTCTTGCCCTGTTGCATCTGCCACTCAATGCCCAGTTGCCCCTAATGACAACCAACATACATTCCACAATGTGGACAACAACCGCTACACCTACTTAGTGTCAACTAATCAGAATCATGATGCAACACGTCAAAAGGGCAGCTCTGTCAATCATAACAATTTTCGCAACGCAGGAAGTACCGAAAATCAGCCCTCCTGCCCATGGAAGTTAGCTCCAGGAGCTAAAGTGCTGGTAAGTGAAAGAAGCATACTGAATTACATAAACTCCTGTGATATATCTTGTCTGACCAACAATTTATGATCCTATGTCTTTTGTCTTTCTCCAAGGCCTGTCCTCTCAATGCATGGCCTGTATCAGGGGCAGAGCGCTCAAGTCAAGAGATATGGGAATCCTTCTCTCAGTGTTTCACTCCTGCTGTTAAGGAGGTGGTCGAGTTTGCTAAAGGCATCCCAGGATTTCAAGAGCTTAGCCAACAAGACCAGGTCATGCTGCTCAAATCAGGCACCTTTCAGGTACACACATTTCAAATTATTTTATATAAGTCATAAATATATAAAATATGTGAATCCTTCAGGTGTTCAATGTATTGTTTGTTTAAGTATTTGTCTCAAACTTACCTTTGTGTCTCTCTTTTTTTCTTTTATATTTTTGTGTGTTTAGGTTCTGATGGTGAGGTTCTGCACCTTGTTTAATGCTCAGGAGCGTACAGTGACCTTCCTAAATGGCCAAACTTACCCCCTGTCCACCCTGCGGGTCTTGGGTATGGGCTCTCTGCTGGACGCAATGTTTGAGTTCAGTGAGAAGCTGGGCTCCCTGGGGCTAGAGCCTGATGAAATGGCCCTCTTTATGGCGGTGGTGCTGGTTTCTGCAGGTGAGACAGGGACAAGATTTAGTGACAAAAGCTGTAGAGCAGTCACGCTTTGTTTATGAACCAATAATGTAGTACCTATGTCTGTCAAACACTCACATTGCCATCCTCTGTGCTCCTCAGATCGTTCCGGCATCTCGGACATGCGGGCTGTGGAGCAGCTACAGGAGGGTCTGATCCGTGCTCTACGATCACTGATCACCCGCCGGCGCCCAGATGACACCACCCTCTTTCCCAAACTTCTCCTGCGTCTGCCGGACCTGCGCACCCTCAACAATCTGCACTCTGACAAACTGTTGGCCTTTCGCATCGACCCTTGAGTGCACTGCTTGTTCACAGAGCACAAAGACACAAACTGTTTTACAAGGAAATATACAGTACACCCCCCCACACACACAAACACACACACAAACACAGAGATATTATCTTCCAAGGGCAGGACTTCCTTCAGAATTGAGGAACAAGGAGTTGTGCAATCTGAGGAGTGTTTTTCAAAAGGATAAATGAGGCCAGTAGCGAACATATTTCTGATTCGTTATTGATCTTCATGCAATGTTTTGGGACAAAGAAACATACACACACAAACTCATGTATACACATTAACCTCAACACCTCTTAAGAGACATTGTTCCAGTAAAATAATTATTGTGTAGACTTACTATTACCCTTTTGGACAAATCATGTGTGCACTTGCTCATTATATCCAGTGTACTTAAGAATAAAAGCCAGTTCACTTCTGTTTATTCCTTAACTCGTACAGTATCAACAGGCGATCACTAAGCAGCAAGCTGAAAGACGGATATCTTAGCTCCAAACCATTATTACTTAGGGACCATTAGTGATGATTGACTATGTGTCAGTTTGTGTTTAAGAGAAAGGGAACCTGTATATAATACATAGCGGAATCTGAAATATTAAGGTAACTGTGTATCACTGTTTCACAAACATACCATCTGCATTAGTACTGGAATGAGATCACCATTTTAATGTGTCACTTGTACACAATAGGATGCATTCTGTCTTACTGTTTTTGACTGATCTTCCAGAGAACATTTGGTACACCAATGGCATTTTATATTATTTCACAAAAACATTGTGTCTGTGTCACTATATTGTATCACATCTGGACTGATGGAGACACTCCATGCATGTTGGATTTTGTAGTTCCTTTGTTTATTTTTGTTGCTGTAAATATTATGTTACCCCAATGTCTATGTATCAATGACTGATTAATGGATCGGATGGATGAGTTCGGTGTAAAGAAGAATGTACTGAGCTTCCTGTATTAGGTGGGGGTTTGGTCATGCCAAAGGGGGCTTTGCACAGGAGAATATGTAGAAGGGATTTTCAGATGGTTTAGACACACTTCCTGCTATCAGATGACGTAACCAACCAGCATAATTCCTGAAATCACCAGCACTCACTCCACATGCACCCTTCCTCTGCCCCCAATGTTTGTCATACAAACACAAGAGATATTTTTGGGTGAGAGATCTTATTTGATTGGTCCTCTCACTGTTTGCTTGTTTGATTATGGCTGATTGAGGACATCTTGTACATTTTGTAAATCTTTATTCCTAAATAGAAATGATATAAAGTTCAAATTATGTATAACTCCGCTTGTGTGTCGTTCTTTTGTGTCCATCCAGGCAAAAAGAAGTAAGTAAGGATGATCTGCTGAGTAGTTAGGACTGTATAGATGTCAGAAATGAGCAATGATATGAGTAAGGCTAGATGCACATATCTAACACATAACGTTATAATGCCCTGTTTTCTATTAAGGTATGCATAATAGAGTCACTAGCCTTTATATCTAGAAATATGGGTTAGACAGATCACAACAATGTATTAAGTATCATCATATCATCTTGTACACATACAATATTGGATCGTGTGTGCCTTGTTTCATCAGAAAAACTACAAACATTTTTTAAAGAACTACTTTTTCTACTGCTTGATTTACGAACTAATAATAAAATCCAACCTTAAGAATGGGACTGGCCCTCCGAAAAAGAAGTCTGGAAACATTAAGCGATTCTCTCCTGCCCCTGGAAATCAAAAAGCAAAGCAAGGATGCCACCTTGTGGTGAAATAATGGATCCCGGATCCCGGAAGTGAATTAACTGTGTGCCACTAAAGTCACACTTGCGTTTATGCTATAGCATCACTTAAGTTATGTTTTCTGTTAACGCTTTCGTACGTCGTGTAAGTAATATGGGACCGCTGTCAAACGGCACGGTAAGACACATCACATAGTATGATACAGTATAATGGAAACGATATTGTAGAAGCACAGTTACAGCAATTCAATCTGAACGTTAGGTTAGCTTCTGAGCTAGCGTTAGCTACATAACAATAGCATGCAGGTACATTTCAGTGCTATCAATTAGTTAACGTATTTATATTAAATTAACTAAATTGTCACCACTCAAGCTGTCCGCCATTAATGCATGTAAATACACACTCACTAACGTTAGCTAATGCCGTTTTTGTTGAGTTGCTGGATACCTGAAATGAAATGCTTATTATTAGCTAAAGTTAGCTACGAAGTAACATGGAGAATGATTAACAGCAGGAAGTGATTCAGTGGTAACTCCTAACACTCTCCTCTACTCTTGTCCATCGTGTCTCTTCTCCACAGGTGCTGGGAAATGGAAAGAAATGAGTTGAAAACGCCTTCAGGACCTCAGGTGTGACCTCCAGTGGGTGCAGTGTATCACACCATGTTGGTGACAGCGTACCTTGCCATCATTTTCCTGCTTGCCTTGTGTGTTGGCCTCGAGCTCACAGCCCGCCGTCTCACCCCACCTCAGTCTGCTCCTACTGCTGTAGCCAACCCAGTCTTCCGCCGCTTCCAGAGCATATTTCTCCGGGCATACCTTTTGGCTTTGTGGGCAGACTGGCTCCAGGGTCCTTACCTCTACAAACTGTACCGCCATTACAGTTTCCTGGAATCCCAAATAGCCATCTTGTATGTGTGTGGCCTGGCCTCCTGTGTGCTGTTTGCTCCTATTTCAGGCTGGCTCCCTCAAGCCTTGGGTCGCAGACAGACATGTCTTCTCTTCTGCCTGTCCTACTCTGCTTGTTGTCTCACCAAGCTGTCCAGAGACTACTTTGTTTTGATTGTGGGCCGGGTCCTGGGGGGTCTGTCCACATCCCTGCTCTCCACCACATTTGAAGCCTGGTATGTGCACCGTCATGTAGACATCCACGATTTCCCCAAGGAGTGGATCCCCAGCACCTTCACCAAAGCTGCTACCTGGAACCATGGGCTCGCTGTAGGAGCAGGGCTGGTGGCTAACTTGCTGGCTGAGTGGCTCCACCTGGGGCCTGTGGCTCCCTTTCTCCTGGCTGTACCCTGCCTGGCGTGCTGTGCCTGGGTGGTGCTAACAGACTGGGGCAAGGAAGAGGCGGAAGAAGGTCCTGCAGGGGACAAACAAACGCTGCATCTTGGCACTCCAAATGGAGCTGTGACCCGTTTGTCTGCGTGGGCCCGCTTCACACGCAGTTGCCATGATGGCTTGCGCTGCTTGCTGTCGGACAGGAGAGTCCTGCTCTTGGGTGGAGTGCAGGCTCTGTTTGAAAGTGTCCTCTACATTTTTGTTTTCCTGTGGACCCCGGTACTGGACCCTCATGGACCTCCTTTGGGTATAGTGTTCTCTTGCCTGATGGCTGCCAGTATGGCCGGCTCATTGCTGTACCGCCTAGCCACCTCCACACGCTACCGTCTTCAGCCTGGCCATGTTCTCTGCCTGGCTGTGCTGATGGCCTTCTTCTCCCTCTTCATGCTGACCTTTTCCACTGCTCCTGGCCAGCCAAGACCTCATGAGTCCTTTCTGGCCTTTCTGCTGCTGGAGCTGGCCTGTGGCCTCTATTTCCCTGCAGTCAGCTTTCTCCAGGGCAGGGTGATCCCAGAGGAAAAGCGAGCAGGTGTGCTGGCTTGGTTCCGGTTGCCTCTGCACCTGCTGGCCTGCCTAGGGTTGCTGGCGCTCCATGGGGAAATGTCAGGAACGGGTGGAGGGGAGGCTGGCAGCGGCACCAGACACATGTTTGGAGGCTGTGCAGTCATGATGCTGGCAGCTCTGATGGCTGTAGTCAGTCTGTTCACTCTAGGCAGAAATGACATAGACCTGAGACTGGAAGGAACCAGAGGGGAGGGGGAGATGTTCTGAGGAGATAAACCACACATCCATTCATGTGTGACTGGTTTCAAATGCATTGTGCCAGTTTTGTCTGAAAGTAGAAACCTCATGTGTTCCACTGGAGTAGTCGTAAGTCTACATTTTGCCAAATGCATCAATGGGTGTTTTCGTAAATTAAAATTCAGTTGAATTTCCATTTTTATGTTTCCCCTGTTACGTCTTTGTTGTTTTTGGGAGAGGGTTTTTCTAATCCTCTATGGATGTTTTCAGAACATGAACCATATCTACCTTAATTTGTCAAGTAAATTGCAGGAAGCTTTGTCAGCCATATCCAAAACTCTTATCATTCCATTAACTATTCCAGATAAAAACATATCATTGCTTCATTGTGTCCTGAAGGGAGATGGGGTGATGTGTTAACCTGTCACTATCCTCATAAGGATCTGTAATATTTTAGTTCCATCATATGTTTATAAACGGATGTGAAAAGATGTGAGTTTACAGAGAGCTCAATGAATATCCAAAGAAATAAGTCATAACTTACATGTAGACCAGTATCTGAATGTCAGTTCTTATAGTACTTCTTCCACAATACTTTTATTTCTGTGTGTGTGTTGTTGGTTTTTTCCAGCTTCTGTGTATTTTTAATGATAAGAGCAATCAGTAGGTCAGTTTTACTTTGAATGCTTTTTCTGCACTTGTCTACAGGATATTTGATCTGTATTGTCTTAACATTTTTTCTGTTCTTAACACTTTTAAATAAAAGTGCATATTGTACATAATGAATATGTATTTGTTTGTTATTGATGTTATATGAATATGTATTCAGTAGTATGATTTGGAGTTTCCAAATAATCATAAAATAGTGTGATATAAATATTTTACTTTACCAAATTTAAAAGGGAAAAATGTCTTTCCCCTCCAAGCAGGTTGTAAAGTTACTTCTTTTTTTATTTAATTCAACATTAACAAAACCTCTTAGCATTAAAATCTAATTCTGCACCAATCATTTCTTATAAATACAAAATGGATTGACTTCTATTTCAGGTCATTCTTAATCAAATGGCCTGTTTAAATTACCAGAAAACAGTCTAACTAACTAAATCTAGAAATGTCTAAATACTTTACCCCCTGCAATTCCCCTCTCTTAGTTTTGATGCAGACCATATTTCCAGATTTTTCTGGACAGGCCTTCATCATCCCCATTTGCCTTGGTACCATGGTACAGTCCCAGCTTTTCTCTATGGCGCAGCTTCACCTGGATGCTGCTAGAACATCCCTCTTTGGGTGAGGGGGGGGGTATCTGCACGAGTCTTAACTGCGTTGTTTGGGGATTACATCACTACATCGTCAGAGGGTGTTCAGTCAGTGAGCAGAGACGAAGAAGAGCACAGTCAGAGGTCTTTTCTGACAGTTTAGCTAGACTCTGCAAGAACTACACCATCAAGAAAGGAGACACCAGATCCCCATTTACTGCTTAAGACACAACTAGACAACCTACTGCAGGACGACACACGGGCATCATGACACAGGGCAAGGTATGAGCTTACTTTAATCGTGTCATTCATTTAATTATATTAAGAAGTCATTATTCCTGTTAATTATCACAATTATAAACAGTTCTGTACGTTGGATTTCTGTATTACATTATTATGTAACAGTGAGTTGACATGCGTGCCTCTGCTCCATCCCTTTAGAAATGCTTCATGGCAATGCAGGCTATTCAGCTGTGCCACATTTAGTCATTCTAATGAATGATAACTAGAGCCTGGTAACATGACTGTGGCTTTCTCTCCTGCAGAATAGTGTTTGTAGCCGCACAGTCCCGCAGGATTCAATAGCTGTTAAATAAAGTCGTTTATTAATTAAATAGTTAGTTAATTAATGGCACCTTAATCCTGTTGTAATGTTTCACGTATGCACATATGATATGTTTTGTGTTGTTTAAGGCTGAACTGTTGCCGGAGTTTATGTGAATGAAGTGCGTCACTGGCTGTTTTACCGTGTTGCGTCACCATGACAACTCGTTTCTCTCTGTAGCGCTGGTATAAAACGCTGCTGTGAGCTCCCCACCGTGTGTGCCTCTCACATTATTCCACATTATTCATCCTGATGGTTTCAACAGTTTTATGAAAATATGGCAGAAGAACAGCGGTAAAAAAAAAAAAATTGTACAAGGACTCGGGATTTTCAAGCATCGCCGGTTAGCTAATTATCTTTTAGAGACTGATGGTCTGTGACCCAAATCGTACATGTAGTCTTATTACTGTATATCAGTGGTAGAGGTGAAAGGAGTTAAAATACAGATGGTTAACAGTGTCTATTGTAAGCAGAATGTAGTAATGCTAGCTGTAGTCCAGTTGACATTGAAGCATTTTATAAATAATTAAATAAAATATCATGAAGTGTTAGGAATGGAAAAAGTGACCTATCGGGTGGAGGCAGATGAAATGTCAGCTGACATGTCAACAAATGAAAGCACTTCATTATGTGAAAGTAAAAGTGAATGCCCTGGCAATGAAAACACTTTAAATTCCAGTGTACAATATGATACCTAAACTGTTGCTACTGTAAAAGCAAGAATATAAATGATTATAATGTATCCAAGTGCCAATACAGCAGTACTACATAAGCAGTACTCAAACTGCAAATCTGTCAGGACCATTTATCTTTGATTTTTCAAGATAAAGAACCTCCTGAAATATGACTTACTACGCACTGAGTAATAATAATTCCACAGTGTGATTCTCTGCAGCATAAATGTTTATAGTTTTACATTTTCAGGAGGTGAGTGGGTGTGTGTGTAATATCACACTAGTTAACTAGTTACTTTACTGACAGACAAGGGAACACTACATTCAAAACCAGACATTAAAAGTTCATGTTAAATGTAAGGGAGTTTGTTTGTCTTCAAATATTGATTTACTCTCACCTAAAATGACAGATTATAAACTAAAAGATAACAAATTGTTCATCTTTTGGCCTTTTAGCTTTTACTTGCAAACAAGACCGCCAATGGCTCCAGCGAACAAGTCTTAGTGTCACCAGTTCCTCCCAGCTATGAGGAAGCCACCGCAAGTATGACAACACTTTTATCCTTCTATATTTAATGATAAAGTTAGTCATTATCTTAATATATATATAGATATATATATATATCATAAGTAGGCTGTATGTTGGCTGAAAAAATACACTGTAGTGTTTACTACCAAAAAGTCTTACATAAATATATGTGTTCTCCAGGCACCAGTGCGCCTTGCTACAATGATGTTGAGATGCTCACAGAGTTCACCTGGGATGATCGCAACATCAGGAGGGTCTTCATCCGTAAGGTATCAAACGCTTTATCATGACATTATGATTACAATATTAACTCTGTTGTGAATGCCACATATCACTGATAATTTACCTCAAATGAACTTTGTTAAACGTTAAAGGCCTACACACACCAGTACATGTATAATTACCGGTATGCAATTTTGTTTGATTTTAACTTGCTTTCTTTTAGGTGTATGCCATCTTGATGATCCAGCTTTTGGTCACTCTTGCTATTGTGGCTCTTTTCACATTCTGGTGAGCATTAGTCTAGACTTCTTCTTTCATATTTAACAATACTGATTTTAAGTAATTCTGATAGAAATCCACTGAGTTGTGTGCTTACTTAAGACTATGCTACTTTTAGTGACCCTGTGAAGGACTACATTCAAAGCAACCCTGGGTGGTACTGGGCCTCTTAGTAAGTAACAGGTTTAGTCAGTCTCAAGTCAGTAATACACAGTTACTCTGTACAGTTTTCAGTCACTTCTATCTAACAATATTTCTTTTGTTTAACAGTGCTGTGTTCTTTGCCACATATCTGACCCTCTCTTGCTGCGCTGCACCAAGGTAAGTTAAAGGTTTTCAAAATTGTGTACAATATATTTTAAAAAAAAACACAAAACATATATTATATATTAAACAAATATTAAAACTTCAATGTTTTACTCCCTCCTACAGGAGACAGTTTCCATGGAATCTGATTCTGCTTAGCATCTTTGTAAGTACAAGGCAGATATCTGTTATGTTTTTAATAAATGTTTTCTTGTATGGACTGAATTTGTGTTATTAGATGAGCAACTACAAACTGAGGTTTAGAATTGCAAACAGTACATTCATAAATTATCAAATGATTGTAAGTTGCCATGCCAGTTAAAATGATCTAAAACAAATAAAATAAAATATATTTTATAAAAGTTTATGCTCTCCAGTCATGACATGTTCAAAGATTTTTTTAAACAAATGCCTGCATTTCTCATGACTATCATATTTCCCATTACAGACATTGTCACTCTCCTACATGACAGGGATGTTGTCCAGGTAGGTCTTGCTGCTTCAGACCCTCTCCTTTCCAGATAATTAGGCAGCTATGTATTTTCTTTACAGCGTGTGAGGCTGTGTTTGTGGCCAGAAATGTAGGCTTACATAAAGCTGTATAGTTGGAACTCTCAGTAAGTTTTAAATGTTTTTTGTTTTAATAGCTTTTATAACACCAAGTCAGTGGTGATGTGTCTGGGCATCACAGCAGCAGTCTGCCTCCTGGTCACCATCTTCAGCTTTCAAACTAAGGTGAGAAAACTAACATTTTTCCTTTTATGTACTTTTATGTACTTAGTGAAAGTCATTCATGTGTGCCGGATTGTCACACTGTTGAATTAACATATTTATGTTTGATTTCATGTGCTTTCTCCATCCAGTTTGACGTGACATCCTACCAAGGCGTGCTCTTCGTCTTCTGCATGGTCATGTTTGTCTCTGGACTGGTGTTGGCATTCGTCCTTCCCTATCAATATGTAAGTATAACTATCTAAATCAAGCTATCCCACCAGTTGTGTGTCATGTAAGGTTGGGGGATTTTCAGACAACCAAGACATAGTTACATCGAATAGGAATGTAAACAGGGCACCCTGGTAGTGCACCTGGTAGAGCTGGAACTACATGTAGCAAGGCTGAGTCCTTGCTGCAGTGGGCCCCTTTTTTTTTTTAAAGGAATGTAAATCAACAGTCCCACAAATTTTTGACATTAGACTAATGCAGAATCAACTCTAAATTGAGATCATATTTAGTTATTGTACTATCATATGCATTCAGATGTAACATGGGCCTTTCATGTGGTTATCTAAACTGGAATCACATTTAATCAAGTCCTTTTTCCCATTTAGGTACCCTGGCTGGATGCCACCTTTGCTGCCTTGGGGGCCATATTGTTTACCATGGTAAGAGTACAGATACTGTCAAACCATTACTAATAGAAATTATCATATTTTGTCATCAGAATCATAAACAAACAAAAAGATGTCTTACTTGCCGTTTTATTTTCTGTTGTAGTTTTTGGCATTTGACACCCAGCTCCTCATGGGGAACAAGCGCTACTCTATTAATCCAGAAGAGTACGTCTTCGCCACTCTCAACCTCTACTTAGATATCATCTACATCTTCTCCTTCTTCCTTCAAATCTTCGGAACAAAACGAGAGTAAACCATAGCCTAACCTTTCTTACTTGCAGACAAGAAATGCACCAGTATGGCAATTTAGGCAGACATGATAAGAGTCTTTTAACATTTTGGTGATTGTGATGACAGTGCTTCCAATTGTAACAGCTTTATTTATTTAGTTTTTGCCTGATACTGATAAGGTCATGAATACTTTGTGAATCTCTTGTACAGCTATCCATGCACATGTCAGTATTCAAATCCAAAATGTCAATCTATCCCTCCTCTTTAGCATGTTGTGCACCCACCACGGGGTTAGATTATTAGCTTAACCAGCCAGAAACATTAAGTAATCGGTGAGCTTCTTCCATTTAACATAGATAAAACATACTGTGAGTGTTCATCTGAAGTTGTATGGGCAAACAATAGATGTCAATGACCTTTAAGAGGTATCTGGTCTAAAATACATTATGCATGACTTAAAAAAAAAGCCATAACAACAAATATATCATTTTTATTTATCTGTTTTTTTTTTTTTTTAAAAACAACAAAGACCTAACAATCCCACATATAGTCATCTCATCATTGGACTAATGCTGTGGGTGTTGATTTAGTGACTAAAAGCACAAATGTTGCTTTAAAAAAGCTTCAAAGATGCAAAAGAGTTTTCCTTTGTTTTCAATCATATCCAATGTTGTCTCAATACTGTGAATTACAAGAAACCTTTGAGCTTAGGCGACATGTTTTTCTGGCTTTTGAATGACAATCTGAAAATGCTATTTATCGGATTTTGGATGTTTCCACTCATCTCATTTACTGTATAATGTGTCTACGAGTTGATTTTTGCTGTATTTAACTTTCATACATTGTCTTCACATTGTGCAGGGTTTATTATTAGTATGTATTTTGTCTAACAAGTGTTTGAACCTGAAATTTTTTGAATGAAGATGTTTAAGACTTATTTTCATGAAAAATAGTTTGAACAAAGATTATAGTTTTTGTTCTTTATTATTTAAACTTATTCACTTGGTTGGAAGTGGTGACACATGATAATCAAATATAAACATGACAGTGCCATACATGCATGGATTTACTGAAACTTTTGATAAGGCCTGCATTTGTGAAGGGGCTTGAATGCTATATTTCATGACATATGAAGTTTATTTTTTTATGACAGAATGATATATTTCAGAAAGTGTAATGTAAAAGAGTTTAAAGTTTGAAATGAATTTATAATCTTATAAAGTGCCCTTTGATCACCTTTGTTTGATGATATTGATGCAGTATATTGTTTTAAGGGCACCCTGCATTTCACTGTAGCATTGGTTTTACTGTATTAATTTAATAAATGGTGAATGTGTGTGAATTCAATCACTGGTTCTCTTTGATTTAATAAATAATAATGTGCTTAATCTCCTCTTTATTACTTTTGTTTTAGTCTGTGTTGCTCATTTTAAAACGCCATGTAAAAAACTTATATGATAAACAGGACAGCTTAATTTCAGTTTTACATCCTAAACATTTCAATGTTGTGGAGGTGTCTTTAATTAAAATATTCTGAATGTCCTGATAACCTATCAGTACTCTGGTCCTCCTAAAGAAGATGTTTTTGGTTATTTCAGTTGTATATAAGTTCCTTATTCCTCTGTTTGCTTTGGAGCCATAGTTCTATTGCTATTATAATCTCTATAGTCTTTTGATTTGTGAACACTGAAATGCACAAATTGTACATATATATATTCACAATATATCATTGTAATATATATTTGTCTAAAATGTGTCTGTGTCTTTGGTTTTTCCTATGGTTATTAAACCCACAAACATTAGTTAGTTACTCCTGTAAGGTCCAAGGCTAGGTAAAGGTCATGTTGGGCAGGTAATGTGGCTTTAGTTAGGTATTTTGATGCCCAGGTGACACAATAATTGCCCATACAGAGCTGAACTAATGATCTGCATGGGCCTCCTCTCTCATCCTCCAATATCAATGTCACACCTAGTGTATACCATAGTCTGTTTTGTGTTTTACAAGTTTCATTGGACAAATTATACAAGTAAAGACTATTTCCAGCATGCTTTTGACTTAACAGGTTATCTTCCTGGTTTGCATTGTTTTGTTGTCTGTCAATTTAATTAGTTACAGACTGAAGAGAAATACACGTATTCGAATACGTTACGCCTAATTATGAATGAAAAAGAAATCTGAGAACACAATATGTGACCGTATGTGTTTGGCATAAACACTTATCTTCCCATTATTATTTCATTTAAAATAGAAAATCAGACGAGATCAACTTGATTGTATTTTAAAGCCAAATAACTGCGTGTGTTGTCTACATGTGACAGAGATCAAACTGTGTTCACAAGTCGATGCCGGCGGCTGTGACGTGATATTAAATGGTCTCCGCCGATCTACAACCAACCAGTAAATGTCGAGTACCTTCAGACGTACAACATCCAGTCGACCAATCACAACGCGCGATGGTTGAGCGTCCTGTTCAGCCATGTTGTGGTTTTGAATGAGGAAGAAGCGGGAGATAATATTCTTCAACGAGTTTATATGCAATTTAAAGTCCCGTTAAGGCGATGCAAATGAGTTAGTGTGTGACTCAAAATGATAACCGTATTTTTGAACGCGTTGGTTGCGATTTGTCGCATCCCTGTTGGAATTTAAACACACTTCCATAAATTAGCCGTGTAGCTAGCAACGTTAGCTAGCAAGGTAGTTAGCTTAGTGTGCTATCTAGGCAACTAGCTAATTCTCAGCGAAGTAGCTAACGGTTAGCTCGGTTCGTGGAAAGGTAAAATGATATTTGTGAGGAGTGTTAACCTTTGAAAGAGCCCCGGTTGACCTGCCTCAGTCGAATGAAGCGCACTAGCTTCATTTGGTTTGGCTATATTGACAGGTAAACCGAAAGCAGCTAACGCGATAGCGATTTGTCTGTGAAACGAGCGGCGTTATTTCTAAAACTTTTGAGCCATGTTGAATAAAATCTACGAATGGATAGAAACAAGCTTTGCCAATCTTCGCAATGGTGTGCCAGCTGCGGAGCACTCTGATGCACACCGGGCAGCGGGAGATGGTCGGATCAGGAGGAAAAGACCGATTGAATGGTATGAGCTGCAACGGCGTTAGTCCCTCGTGTAATCAAAAGTCGGTGTGTTTAAAAAGACACGGAATCAAACTGACCCCAAGTTGCTGTGAAGTTCTTTAATGAGTCTGTGTAATTAACGTTTCTGTAGAGCCGCTATTCGTGGCCTCGCTGTTCGTTTAGCGTCTCAACTATTTGTTATAATGTGAAGACTTTATTTCCAGTTTGTCGCAATGAATGGACTGTGGTACTAACTGTGTAGCATCAATCTGTTTCATAAAGTTTGGAAGATGGACATAACGTCGACCGAGATGGCTTAATGATAAAGAAATCTCGAATGGGTAAATAATTACTCCCTGTTTATTAAGTTACATATTACTGTGTGAGTTTGTGCGACGATAAAGTAGAACCAGTATGACCCTACTTACTCTCTTGTCTGTCGGTCTGTTTCAAATTTCTCAAGGAGAAATAATTGACACAGTCAAGATTGCAGCTGAAGGGGTTAAGACTCATAGCTCCAGTGTGGCTACATGGATGAGGAACAATGTGAGCCCTACCTTGAGAAATATACTGCCAACCTCCCCTGGTCCTCCACCTGGAGAGCCCCAGCCCTCAACATCAGCAGCAGTCTGGGCAGGGAGACCGGTAAGCAATTCGTTTCTGGGCCCTTAATGTCAAAACGTTTATGACCTTTATTTAAACATGTATGCGTTTGTGTTAAGATTGTTGCAAGGAACTCTCTGGATGAGACGTTCGCTGCTCCCGCCACAACTTTGGAGTGGAAAATATCCAAATCAGGTAAGATTGTCACTTGAAGCATTGTATAGGCTTGTTCATCAAGATTGCTATTGTTTGTATGAGCCCTGAAGTGAAGTTAATTATTGTACCCCTTTTATTTTGTTTCCCACTCTAGACTGCTTGCGTAATGAGAAGTCCATTATGGGATCAAAGGTCTGTAGGCGACAAGTGTGCATGAGTCCTACACATCGTGAAGTGCCAAAAACAAATGGGCACTCAGTCAACTTGCCACCCTCCATCACCCCTGAATTGCACCCCTCTCCACGGTTAGGCAGGCCCCTAAACCTCCGACCGCATGGATTGCCAAGGTATTCCTTACATCTTGGTTTATGATTCAAGACTTGCTTTTTGTTACGTTATTTAATATTATATTGGGTGAGCTATTGTCTGCTGATGTTTGATTACCGCACTGTCGTTTTGTGTTTGCAGTTTATTTAGTGGAGTTGCAAGCAGTTCCTGCACCAGCATGTATGAGAAGACCTTTCCCATCAAAGTGGTACAGAGCCCAACACACAGCAGCTCATCTGGCCACGTACATAGGGCCAGACCCCGCTGCACAGCACAAGAGGTCAGACGTCAGGACAATAAGGCACTTTGTGATTTCTTCTATATCAGGTGTTGCTTTTCTGTTGTTGACTTCATGGTTCTCCTCCGTGTTTGTCCAGTCTGTTTGTGAAGAGGAGAAGGAGGTCTACAGGCAGCTTCTGACCATGGTCTCTGGTGGTCAGTCGTCTTTCCTTCACAACGGCAGCTCACACGCCATTGTGAGGTCACACAGAGATTTGTACGTATCCATACCAATGTAGTAAACTTTAACAAAGCCACATTCCAGCTGTTAATGAAATATGTAAAGAGATGCACGGGTTGGGGGGGCTCCAGAGTGCTGCCAGAATTAATTCACAGGCCAGTGGGGGGCTCCAGAGGCATATAAACTTAACAGCAGTACTTTTCTCCAAACTCTAACTTTGTACTCTGTGTATCCTGGAATGACATATTCAATTTTGCACTTGCATATCTTTACAATCAGCTGTCAGCAGACTTTAAAAGTGCTAGTATTTTCTGCTTAGTTGAAGTTTAACCTATTTAAACAAAACAATATTAGTATCAGTATATGAACAAATGTCGAACCAGCCATGGAGCATAATCCAGCTTTTGTTCACTGTTGTGCCGTATTTGAGGGACACTCAATGGTAGTTGCATGTATGCTTTGTTTTTGTGGAACTGGCATGCAAGGAACACAACTCACAAACTCTCCTCACGTTCAATGGAAGGTTAATTTAAATGATTAATACATTTTAATAGTTCCATGTCTATCCTTTTTTGTCACTTTCTCATCAGTACCAGCTTTCTGACCACCAGCCGCAGACTTCTACAGTTCTCCTCGCCTACTGGGTCAGCAGCAGGGGAAACGTCTGACGGACCCAGCAGCCCTCCCAGCCCCAGGGGCATGTCTAGCCAGAGCTCCAGCAACCTCCCCAGCCCAGTGGGGGCTTCCAGCAGGCCAGGGATCCAGACATGGTCTCTGGACACAGACCTCAGCTCCAGCAGAGCAGCTACTCTCTCATCAGCTCCCTCCCCATCTGCACTGCAGGATAACTCCTCTCAGGACACACAATCATCAGGTAAAACTCTCACCCCCTGCTGTGTGCACATAAATGAAATATAGGCCTTGTCAAATGGGAAACCATAAGTCAAATCTGTGTTTCGTCTTGTCTTTTCTTGCAGCTCATGACGCTGACTCTGTAATTATTGTAAATGAGAAAAAGGGTAAAAAGCCAGACAGCTCAAGGTTAGTATTTGTTTTCAGTCAGTCTTGCCATTTCCTTCCTTACATTGTTTTATCACGAGCTATATTTCACTGTTGTTAATGCAATGTGTAACATGATTACCCTTTACACAAGCATGGTCAAAGATGTAGACGTCTAAACTTTTCATGTCTGATGCTGTTAATTTCATTCATAATGCCACTAAGTCCCGCACACTGGTCCTTTTTAAGTCAACTCAAGTGTTTTATTTGTATTTTAAAAAACATATTTTTTATGTCTTTACAGTGTGCCATGTTTCCAAGCTGAGTTATGGATCAAAGAATTGTAAGTACACTCCTATGTAATTATACCGTTTATCCTCTATTCACTGATATTATTTCTGAATAGAGGAAAACATGTATTGTTTTTGTCACTGTAGGACAAGTATGTATGACTCTCGAGCGAGAGAAAGACGGAGACAGATAGAAGAGCAGGAGGCCCTGGCTGCCCAGCTGCTGCGACAGGTGAGTGTGCACCACTGAAGCTCTTTCAGATTCAGTTCTATCATATTTGTTTTTCTCCCACTGACCTGTGTCGTGTTATAACTGGTTCCCAGCGTCTGTCTGAAGAGGGGCAACGCAGCCCAGATGTCGAGGTCCATGTTCGAGTCCCTTTGGAGAAGGAGGTTCCTTTGACTCTTGTGATAGAAGAACCGAAGCCTTTGGAAGTGAAACCAGAATTCCCCGAACTTACAGAGGTGTGGTCATTGTGTCCTAATGTGCATGCAATGTTTATCATATATAGAATTCATTTAGATGACCCACCCACGGAGACTTGCTATCACTTAGAAAGATTATGATTTCTTTCGCTGACATTAAGTGGTCTATGCTGCTTAAGTTAAGGGCAGATGTACTTTTCACTCCTATTGAGATCCCACTCTCTGGTTAAAAACAATAAGGTTAGAAATTATTAAAATATTAGAATTCAGGGTGGTACAAGCATTTTTTTTGTTTCTGTAGGCTGTCAGGCAGTACGAGTTTAGGAACACATTTATAGTAGTAGTATAAGGGCTGAGCTAATATTCCCTGCTTTTTCACGTGTATGCTTTCTCTTTCTATTAAGGAAATGGAGGATGAGGTGAACATGGTGCTAAGAGGAGGTAGCTCTCATGATGTATTAAGTGAAGGGTTTGGTCTCAGCCTCACACGTAAAGACCTGCAGACCCTCAGCAACCTCAACTGGCTCAATGATGAGGTGAGTACATATTTATCCTCAAGGTATAAGATCTGTGTGTGTGTGTGTGTGTGATCAGCAGGCATTCATTTTGCACCACACTCTTGTGTTGGTTATGCATATATTTTGACATACATCAAAAATACACAACCATGATTATATTGTTTGGGTTTTTTTTAGTAATTGTTGCACAACTGAGACATACAGTGGTGATTGTCCAGTGAATTGAAACTCTCCCTCCTTAATCTCTCAGGTGATCAACTTCTACATGAACCTGCTGGTTGAGCGCAGCAAGGACCCCAACCTGCCATCAGTCAATACGTTCAACACTTTTTTCTATCCCAAGCTGCGCAGCAGTGGCTACTCTGCTGTCCGCCGTTGGACCAAAAAGATGGACATCTTTTCTAAAGACATCCTGCTGGTTCCTGTCCACTTGGGGGTGCACTGGTGCCTCTCTGTAAGTCTTAATGGCCATAACTGTGAACCTGGAAGTAACAATCTTGGGATTTATATTGCGGTTTTTTTATTGTGCAACTCTTTCTCTCAGGTGGTGGATTTTCGCAAAAAGGCTATCCTGTATTTTGATTCAATGGGAAGAAGCAATGATGAAGCATGCAGAATATTGTTGTAAGTTTCATTATATGATACATTGGTTTGTTGGTAAATTTGGGACTTTTTTTATTTTTATTTGGGAATTTGAGTTTCATGAGTATAGAAATAAATGAATTTGTATTTCCCCAGTGAATACCTGCAACAGGAAAGTAAAGACAAGAAAGGCAAAGAACTGGATACCTCAGGCTGGACTCTGCACAGCAAAAGGCGCAATGTAAGTCCTACACAGGAGGGCGGAGAGTATTAAATAGTATGTTTCCATTGTTGTGCCATGTCATGCTGTGTCATCTACATGCGTTTAGGAATTGTGGATAAACTTCAATCATCAGCAGGGAGTTCCAGGTTATAGTTCTTGGAGCTAGTAGTGCCTCCATCCCTGGCCAGCTTGTCCTGCTCTGTGTTGCATAGTTACCAGTGGACTAGTTTTTAATATTCATGTTGTTACATTTTACAGTTATTTATATTTGCAGCATTCCTTGGTAACTAGTAGTTAGTTTCAAAGTAGTGATACATTTCAGTGTATAAGCTTCAAGTGACCTGGGGCCTGTTTCAGAAAGCAGGTTTAACAAACCCTGTGCCTAATCTTAAACTCAGAGTTTACTAACCCTGAGATAGGAAACTTGTTGAGTTTTTTGGTTTCAGAACAGTTGATCTAAGTTAATTCAGGAAACTCTGAATATGTTCACACCATGGGAATAGGTACATAAAAGGCAGAACCTCTATTTTAGCCTCATAAAAAAAAGTCAGAGCAGAGAAAATGTCAACAAGTTAACACAACACAGTTTTATGCTCTGTTATTTAATTCTTTGTTTACCAGACTTGCATTTCCTTAATGGATGATAAACTCTCAGATTCCACCACTTAACTAGCCTGTAGCTTTATCCTACATTACTTTTTAATATATTTGTTCTGCTTTAATCTGACGGGTGTGTTTTGTACACAGTGGCAGATTTGAAAAATATAGAAATCAAAGACATAGATACATGATTGTAAGCTTACAATCTGATCCAGTAATAATGTGTTTGATGATTTGCACTTGAAAAGGTTAAAATACTACATCATTGACAGAGATGATTGTTCATTGGTCCTTTGTGTCTGAAGCTTTTTACTGAGATTACACATTATGATCAATACATTTTTTTAGCAGAACTGCTCTAACAAAATGACAGCTGTCTTGTGTACAGTTACAAAAACCCTTCCATTCGATCCTGTGTAGTATTTTATTTTTATTTTTTTGTGAAGTCAAAAACCGCTCTTCAAATGAAATGAGTAACAAATATTATTTAACCAGGATTTTGATTCTAACATACAGTAAACAATAGCTAATTAATGCGCTTCCATACGGACTGAATCAGAAAGGGGGGAAAACAAGTTTGTCTGGCTCTAGCACTTGTTTCAAAGTTGAGAGCGGGAGTAAAAAGTAGAGGTGTTATTTGCCTGAGTAAATTAAAGCCCCCCTTCACTACAACATATGAAGAAAAAGCCAAGCAACCATCTGCAGTGGGAGCCCACGTGTCTCCTAGCTTCAAAACAATGCTCCTTAGTTGACTGGTTGCTGGCCTGTGTGCCCATTGGTTGAGTCATTTATTGTGTTTATCATTGAAATTGTGGTGGTGTTTCCAATGTTGTTTTGTGGTACTGTGGCTTTCTTTTAAAGTCTTTGGAGCAAATGAAGAGAAACTACTATTGTGCAAAATCTATTCATACGGTTTCTTTGTCAAGAACAAAATGTCCCATGATGCTGGATAAAATCTGATAAATGAGTTGTCAAAGCAAAATCCTAACAGTTGGTAAAGTACTGACAAAATATCCTGTCAGATTTATACTGATAATTAGTCAGTATGTACTGTGCAATGTCCAAATTTAAATAATAATAATGACATTTTTATCCCTTCCTTTCCTCTCAGGAAATCCCACAGCAGATGAATGGTAGCGACTGTGGAATGTTCACATGCAAATATGCAGATTACATTACCAAAGACAAGCCAATCACATTCACTCAGGTAAACATAAACCGCATCAACAAAGGAGATTTATCATGATCATCATGATAGTGGCCTAAGAATGGCTTACGTGACCTCTGTTTTTCTTCACAGAAACACATGCCCTACTTCAGAAAAAGGATGGTTTGGGAGATCGTGAACCATAAGCTGTTGTGATGTCAGTATGAGGACTGAACTCGTATAGTCGTCTCACGATGTCACACGTCGTAACGATGGCTACGTTCGACAGCAGGATCCTCTTACAGTAGTACTGTTTTGGGATAGACTTGCACACCAGCTCATCAGATCAGGAACCAGCTCTGCTACTCTGCTGCCCACAGCTGATCAGAGCTGATGGGATGGTGCTGGAGAACCAAACACTGCCTCCCACTCTTTTTTTGGTGCACCTATGGAGCATCAGTACAGCAGCTGAAACACTGCGTGTTTTGTATTGCCCAGCCAGAACTGTTTTTGAAAAATCCCGCTTTAACTGGCTTACAAAACCATACTCTGAGCTGCAATGTTCAGTTTGATGCAAACATACAAAGTTTACATGTTTTTCGTCTTACAGGGAGGTGAGCGCATTATGCTATAATTTTTATAATGACAGTAATACTATATTTTGGTGGCACTGTCAATGTTTGATACTTTTGGTATGTGCAAAGAAAAAATGACTTTACAATGAAAATATGAATGCCCACAAAACTGGAATTTGAATGACATCTTGTCTAAAAAATCTGTCTTTGTATTTGGGCTTTTATTTTTTTTTCCAGTTTCCACATTTCACCTGAAACAGGATTATTTTTATTTGTTGGTTTAAAACGCACAATAGTCGTCAGATATGACATTGCCTCAGAGTATGATTTATAATGGTAGCAGAATGTTGTCTTACCTTGCCATTAAAACTGCAGGGTGAAAAAAACATCCCATTTCATTCTTACCCATTAGTCAAAGATTGTAAATTAAGGTTCAAAGTCTATTTTATGTATTTTAGAGTTTCTTCATTTGACAGCAGCTTTTGGGCATATTCGGTATATTTTGAACTTTGTACATACTTAAAACATATACGGCCTCTTGAACAGTGTAATATACTTTTTCTTTACGTATTTCCTATATTTTTTATCTAGATTCAACTCTGTTTTAGAAATAAATTCTCATGTATTGTGACTGTTCTTTGTGTATTACCTCAAAATCAGCTGGGTTTGATATAAAAACTGCCACGTTTGATAATTTGATAAACAAGAGAGAACCTTGATGTGTGTCTTGGCTTATTTGTAGTGCATTATCCCTTTTTACAATATATAACGTGGTCCCTTGTGTAATAGCAATCACGCAAACACAGTGACATTTTTTTTTATTAAAAAAATGAGAAGTTCAAAATCAAACCAAGTTAAAAGTTTTAATAGCTGTAGGGTTTTTTTTCTATCAAGAAGACAAAGAGCTGCATCATGGCACAGACTAACATTTACTGAGGAGAGGTTGTTTGATGCACAAAACAAGACTGCACAGACATCGTTGAACATGAATTACAAACTGACCTGTGACTTGATAAATTGATTCAGCTAAAAGATTTCTAAATACTTAGCAATTCAAAATTAGCAGCAATACTTCTTTAGACTCAATAAGCCACTGTTAAGTTTTTCTTCAATGTTTTGGACACAATAGGAATTAAAAGTTGTAAATATTTCTTTGCTTCATAGATCTATGTTCAGAGTAGTTTGATATAACAAAAGTCTTTTTCAACATTTGCAGTGCATGAAAACAAAAACAATTCCAGTCAGAGGTCAAGCCCACGAGTAGCACTTCATTATCCCTTCCTGTGAAATCTAAGGCATTTCTGTGAAGGTTATTTTCTCCTGGAAATAAACTGTTTCATGGTTTTAAAAGAAGAAAACATCTACAAATACTCAGCAAGAAAGCAAGCTAACAAACAGGTCTAGACGGAACACACAAAACTAACATAAAACTTGCAACTGGATGGAATGGAGAATTATATCTAACAACTAACGTGTCCATGTAAAATAAAAGTTGGGTAGATGAGTGGGAAACCCGCCTTCGTTCACATAAAGCACATCTGCCGTAGTTGTTTAGAGTTCTTACATTTCATACAGTCATATTAACAACCACATTTTGGTATGAAATAGTTCCCTTTTAATGCAGCAATTTTCCTAACAATGAAACCAAAGATAAATGTGTCGGAAAACAAACAAATCTCAATGTATGTATAATGAAAAATGTGAAGTCATATTGTGAGGTGATCCATTGTCGTCATATGAGGTGTTTCTTGGATATCTGTAGTATTGCATTTATAAGGATAATAAATTAATTGCATAGATCATCAGACCTTGGGCATGTTTTCCGAACATTGGACGGAAGAGTTAAAGGATGTGGACACAGTACCAGCTGTGAACAGTCATGAGACCCACTGTTGGTTATTGCCTGTGAACCTTGTACACGAACTGAATCTACATTGCTCTAGCAGGATGAGGTAAGTCAAGGTTTTGAACATATATTTATCTGACATTATTCCCAACTGCTTGGGGTACAGCTCTGTAACAATGCATCTGAACCTAGCATACATAATTAATCCACAAACAGGAGTCATGTTCACAAAGCGACAACATTCGCGACACAGACAGAACTGAAATGTCTGTAAAAAAAAACATTAAAGCATCTTTGACATCAACACTGAAACCAGAACGAGAGAGAAGTTTGCAAACATACGAACAAATCACTATTTTTAAAAAAGACAGAGAGAAGTTGAACACATCTATTTCTCACTATTTGAAGCACACAGCACACTATCAAAAATAAAATCAAAGCTTCTTTGAAAAATAGGACCAATCTTAAAAGTATTAAAACTGAATTAAAAAAAAAAACTTAACAAACCTTTAAATAAGAAATGTAAAAAAAAAAAAAACATGAGGGTGAAAAACAGAAATGCGGAAATATATGCAAACACACAGCAAAGGCCAGTATTAAAGCATCTCTCCACTGGCCATAATAATCCACCGTAATAGTGTTTTCTGAACAGGACAGAGCCACGCTTTACCTGTTGATCTCCACATCCGTGTAATAAGAACTTCATACTCTAATAACAACATCAAATTCTTGCTTCAGAAAATACAGTTTTGGGATTCAGAGATTCAGCTTCCCTTTTTATAAAAGGGACATGAGGAAAAAAAACTGAAAACACATAGCAATATATAGATTGCTATTTTTTGGTATAATTTTGTATCATGTTGTTATTAAAATACCTGAAGCAATACTACACCGATAAAAGGAAATCAAAAGAAAGCCTAAATAAATTTAAATCTCTTATTTACAGGCAGCTGTGTGTGAGATGTGATCCCTGTTAAGCAACTTTGGATTCCATCAAGTGGAGCAGCTCAAAGTGAACCTATATTTAGAATTTTATGATAATAATCTCTGGAATGCTTTAAATCTATTTAGCTCTTTTAAAGAAGTCTTCTCTGTGAAATCTGCCATTAATGACCATCATCTCTAAATGTTCTCTTCTTTGTAATCTTCTGATTGTCTGAAGCTTTATCGAGATTGCTGAAACTATAAATTATTTGAGATTCAAGTGCCAAAAAAACAAGTGATACCACTTCAGGTAAAGTTTCATACCTGATAAACTTGCTGCCACTTTGAGAGATGCTAATCCAAGTCAGCACCATATTTGTCTAAAATGCAAGTCATCAGCTTTTTTAAATGACTCTTTTTCGAGACTTCTGTAATTCAAATATTTGCACCAATCAATCAAACTAGAACACATGAAGCTAGAAATGCACCAAAACAAAGAATTATGTACAAAAGCCTGAAAGTATCAGACAAAAAAAACGTGAAGTAAAATCAGCATATCTTACAAATCGTCAAAACAAAACATGACTAAAAATAAAACATGGTGTTGAAATGTTCTTTTCCTGGTTTCATTCTAGCTCCCCGGAGTAGTATTAGAAAATAATGTGAATAACGCTCAAAAACCTTTTAAACATGTGTAGTGTGTGTGTGTGTGTGTATGTCTTTTTTTTCTTGACTGTTATCAAAATAGATGTTTCTTGTTCCATTCTTCCATTTTTCATTGCCTGCCATTCTCCAGCCTTGATTGCCTGGAGTAAAAGAGTTTGTTTTAAAATATGAGTTTGTAGAAAATATCTTTTTTGTTTGTGTTGTCCTTTCTGTGTAACAGTCCATGTTCCTTCGCGTGTAGAGAGTGTAGAGTCAGAGTGCTGAGTTCTCAGCACTTGGGCTCCTTGAGAGTCACTCTGGCTCCAGAGGAAGATCTGAGACACAAGGTGACAAGACCAGCCAATTAGAAACAAGAGCTACTGCTGCACTGTCTCCTTCTGCAGTAACATCACAGCACGACAAAGAAATGTTTCTGGATTGAGATGTATGCACATACAGAGACACAAAACAAGCACACACACACACACACACACACACACACACAGACACTAGCAATAATCAAAACCCACCTCTTCACTTGTTATGCTGGTAGGAGTAGGTTGTGTGTTCTGTGGGTGTCTCTATGGCAACGGGTTGTTGGACGGCACTTTCCTGAGAGGGAGGCAGCAAATATTAAATCCGTGAGTGATTGTTTCAAATAACATTTTAGTGTTAAACTGCTCTAGTGAGAGAAAACAGAGGTGATTACCTCAACTGAGATGTTGGTGGCAGGCACTTGGGTGTACTGGGGGATGTAGGTCCCCTGCATAGATGTGTTTGCAGGCATATACTGCAGGAGGATGAAGACGATAAGTTAATTGGACATGATGGCTACGTTAGCAATAACACTGTCAAATAAAGCTGCATTACACAAGATTTGTAAGGGAAATTACACCTGTCTTCATCAGCCTAAATTATAAAGGGGAACTGCAACTCAAGAAGAAAATCTCATCCAAACCTTACCGAATTTTTACAAATAAAAGTTAGTCTAGTTATCTCCAACCTAAAGATATAGCAGAACCTTAAAAGTGGTGAATGAACACTCAGGGAAAGTTGAGATCATTGCCTCTCTCATCCCTTTGGTATCATCTTGTATAACACAATCACAGACCAGTCAGCTTAGTACACATAAGTGTTCTTTGTGAGGTTTACTGACATCACCTCACATGACTTTTGCATGTATACATTTAAGTGTTTTTCAGCTGCCATTCTAAGCCTCCAATATGTCAAATTATCTAGTGCAGCTCTAAGGGTTAAATATCACTGATAGCAGAATGTTGAATACTCTACTGACTGTGCCACTGCTGCCCATGGAGAGGTGGCTGAGCTGCTGTGTCAGGGGTCCCATCATCGAGGTCGGCTGGATGGACATGGTGTGGTCCATTCCTGGTGTCAGGACTGCTCCCTATAAAAAACACACAGTAGTGTTAGCACTCGCCATCTGGACAATGAATTCTGATAAGTGCATTCACACTGAGGTCGCATTGCAAAAACTCAGACCATATCTAAAAGTGTCCTGAATCAGAATCTAAAAGATCAGATTTCATGTGATTTGTGCTGCTCACAATGTCATGAAAAAAACTCAGACCTGAGTCACATATGAAAAAGAAAAAAGAAATGCAGATTTTGGCCACTTTTTCCCTGCAGTGTGAACGTAGACTCACATGAGTCAGACCGACTCATGTGAAGGCAGCAGAATATTAAAAAGCTTTTCCTGAAACTAAAACACGGAGGAAGGCCAAAAGCTTTAAAATTCAAGATACTCACTGTGGGTGGCATGATGTACGACTGATGATGTAACCAGGATGGGTTGTGTACCTGCAGGAACAAGAAAGATACACGTGTACCATAATAAGATTACATAATCTAAAAAGATTCAGTCATATTAAAAAATGGACAAGCAAAACTGTACAACTGTGTTGTTTTTATATTTAAAGTTGATTTAAAGTTATAAGTTATCCTTTATTGATCCTGTAAGGATTCTCTGCATTTAACCCATCCTAAATACTAAGATAAGATAACATAAGATAAGATATTCCTTTAATAGTCCCACAATGGGGAAATTCCAATATTACAGCAGCAAAGTGGAT